TTTTTTTTTTTTTTCTTTCTTTTTTTCTTTTTTTCCTTTTTTTCTCTCTCTTTGTTGTATTGTTTATTTTTCACTCCCTGACTCTTTTCACTTCTTTCTGTTTTAATACCCAACATTTTTTGTAATCGTGTGTACCAGAAGTAGATGAGATTAGTATGGGGAAACCTTAACAATGTGAAGAAATGCATGAGTAATTCTCTTTATTGTGCCCCTCGCCTCGATTTGGATATGAAATGCATTAAATATCAGTTCTTATATGTGTTTACAATTCGTTCTGATATTTCTCTTTATATTATATTATATTTATATATATATATATCATGATATTCTTTTTTTCTTGTTTGTGTGTGAGTATATGTATACTTGTTTACAATTGATGGAGATTTTTTAAAAAAAAAGAAAACTCTATGATTACAGTAGTTTCTATTTATTTCTTTCTTTCCTTCTTTTTTCTTTTTTTCTTAAGACTCATCCACTATGCAGCAGGACGAAGAGGATGAGGAGGAAGAAGTCCGTGTGTTTGTAAACAATCAAAACACACGATCGGCCACTGTTACAATTCCAAAATTAACCAAACGACGACAAACTCGCATAGGAGATGGATTTAAACATAGTGGACGTAACTTTGGAGGCTTAGCAATGGCTGGTCAATCCTCCAGTGCTGCGGATGATGGGAACAAGAACAGCAGCAGCACGGAAAAGAAAAACACAAGAGCCACTGCGAGTATTGTCCAAGGTGATATCCATCCACACTTGGAAGATGTCTATCAACGAGTAATGCGACGACTGCAGCGAAGAGCGAATTATGAAGAAGTGCGGTGTCCATCACTTGCCGTACAGTTCGGGATCGTAGATGCGGCAGATGATGAAAAGAGTCGGGAACGATCTGATTGGGATTTAGATGATCATCACACCTCTCTTGTATCCACATCATCTAGTACAACAGCAGGGAAATCTAGTTTTCCACGCCGTCGACATCCACAACCACATACACATAGTGGGAAAGAGACATCACGGGGATTAACCAACACGAGAAGTACCGTGGATCCTTTAGATGATACGGGATTTCTCTCTCAACAGCCATGTCCTCAAACTTTACGTTTAGTATTAGAACAGGTAACTGGCATTGTAGCAGATAAATTACGTATGGCAGATGTGGGTTCTTTAAAGGATTGTCTTCGATTAGTATTTGAGAGTCGTGCCATGTTAGATCGTTTGTTAAAAGAGATCCCTTCATACTCGCAATTTCAAGGTGATGTGGAACGTTTACCAACGGCTATTCAATTACATGAAATTTATCAAGAGTTTAGACAGAAACCAATAGTACTCCCGAGTGCGAGTTATGTGCGAGATCCTGTTAGTGGACGTGTAGTGGCCACCGTTGGGGAAGTAGGCGATGATGCGTATAGTTCCACCCCAACTAGAAGAAGTAATGAAATGAAACAACCACAACCACTAGAACAACAACAAGAAGAAGAAGAAGAAGAAAGAAAAGAAGAAGAAAAAGAAAAAGATCATGATAAAGAACGTCGATCAACTATTTCTCCTGGTACTCCATCCAGTCCACCCATGCCGCTGGCAAACACCCCTACACCCGGTGAAAGATCACCGCCTAACTCTCTCTCGCATGTGAAGAAAGTCGCCCTCCCCAGCGGCATCTCTCTCACAATTCCCGCCAATTACGCCAAGAGCAGCCGAACCCGTCAAAACACTGGAAGGCCCTCGCACGGCAATAAAAGCACCAGCGGCCACCCATCGCGATTGACCTCCGCCCATGGAGAACGTGCAGAGGATGGAAGGCATAGTTCCATGAAAGAGAAACGTACAGACACCTCCCCCTCACGGCCAGGAACAGCCGGTTCTGCTTCCGCCTCCGCCCCCTCCACCTCTGTCTCTGTGGCGAATACAGTTGCAAATGTGAATACAGTGGGTACATCATCCTCAACAACACGGCTGGGTGGGAATGGGAATACACCAGCACTCATGCAAACTATTCCACCAACGGAAAGATGGCGACAGGCAACACAGCAAGTTTCAGCAGGTGTCCTTACAGATATTAATAGTTCAACCGTAGTGAGTAGAGAGGAGTATGAAGAATTAATAGCGTACTCGAAGAAACTTGAGGTGGATATTGAGGAACAAAAGCGTGAAATAAAAGAACTTACAAAAGAACTAAATGAAGAAAAGGCATATACATCACAAAAGAAGAAAGTTGTACAATATCTGCGTGAGACATTATATAAGGAATGTAGTGTCCTTCGAGCACAGCTCTCTACAGCACAGCAAAAACAAATTCAATATCAAGCCTTACTAAAGGAGCAACAACAACAACAAGTTATGGCTTACGCTGCAAGTTTAGAAGGACGAGGAGGAGGAGGTGGTGGTGGTGGTGGTGGTGCTAATGCATCTGTATATGAACATTCACGACTTCCAACTATAGGTTCAACAAGAACACAAGGAAATGAAACATCTGTTATGATGATGTCTGTATCACCTGGATTATTTAGTGTACGACGTGCAAATCCAAATGTTTCTGTTTTTAGTGTAGCCCGTCAGAGTTTAAACACAGATGATCATAATAATGAGACAAGTCACTCTGTGATAGGAGGAACTAGTATTTGTCTTGGTAGTGCCGCACCAAATCCTGTAGTACAGCAACAACAACAACAAATATCTATTGATATTGGAGCCATTCAAAGTCTATTGGATCTTGTACTTTTAGCAGTAGAGAAGGATCAAATGTTGCCAGGGAATGTCTCAAAGGCAAAACATGCGAATATGAATATTATCGCTAGTGCCATGGAAGATGACCCACATCTACGAGAACAGAAACTACGAGAAGAATTTGCTGAGCGTCATCAACAGATTAAACAAAGTTATACATTAAATCGTGTACAAACAACCAATATGCTTGCTGCAAAGGATGAACAGATTAAATATCTTAAGAAATCTTCCGATTTACATTTCTTACGACGTTACTGGCAAGAAAAAGGAGAACTTCTTCGGAGTGAACTTAGACGTCTTCGTTATGGAGTATTGGATGAATTAGATAATCTCAAACATTTTGTAGTGACAACAATGGAAAGTATTGCCAATCGTGCCCGAGTGGTGGATACTACATTACGTGATAATCATTCTCTTTATTCTACACAATCGGCATTACGGGATATCATCTCCTCTGCTCGTTCATTATTATTACCAATGATGACAACAGAATATGTTCGTGGTTATCATCCATGGCCACTTAAACTACGAAATACGATGGATCCATTTTCACATATGGTAAAAGCACGATATGGTGATGGTCAACTCTTAATGATACGAGATGAATTAAATTCATTAAGTGATATTTATGTTATGTTACATCACTATGTGATGAAGAGTGATAAGATACTACAAATGAAACGTCCAATGACTGGGAAAACATTAGAGCAACTATGCAGTGCAATCGTTTTAAATGGTGCGGCTACAGCAGAAATATGGATTCAGGTTCGTGAAAAATATGTCCGTGAACGTGAATTTCAGAAAAAGATTGCAAAATTGAATGTTTCTCTTATTGCCCTACTTTATCAACAACGTATATTGGCAGAACGATCCACAGAGGCCATTAGAGAAGCTGGAATGGATCCAAGACTCATTAGTTTACCAGCACAACGTACAATAAACAAAATTGCAGAAAATGTGCATAAAGTAGTGACGGAACGTGCTCAACTACGTAAACAGAGACAAGATAATGCACGTGATGTGTACCGTATTTGGAAAACTAAACAAATTGATGTGAATGAGGGATATCCACCACCCACAAATCAACAGCGAGTTGTATTAGGAGAAGTGGATGTGTTTCGACAAGGCTCTATGGTGGCACTCCCTCTTAGTGGGAGTATTCGTATACGTACGGGGACTGATTCACTGGTGCGAACTTCTATTATTCAAGGACAAGCCAAGTCGTTTTGGGAACGTATGCTCTCGACAAGTGTAGAGGATAGATCACTAATAGAACAAGTGGAGAATACACCATCTGAAACAGCAGGTTCATCCGTTACGCCCTCAATAAATGGAGTTGCTGATAGTTGAAGTGATATTGTTTGTTGATTTTTGGAGTCTTTTTCTTTTTTTCTTCTTTTGTTGTGGAGCTTCTCTTGCCGGTATGTGAATGTACATTGGTAGCTTCTTTTTTTTTCGTTTTGTTTTTTTTTTTTTTTTTTTTTTTTTTTTTTTTTTTTTTTTTTTTTTTTTTTCATTATTGTTATTATTATTTTATTATGTTTCTTCCTCTTTTCTCTCTTTGCAAAGACGAAGAGGGGACATTGGTGGGGAAGTTCAGAATGATGTAAATGTCATTATGTTTTCGCCACGACATTTTGGAATGCTCGCAGACGAGAACAACAAGAAGAAAAAGAAAAAGAAGAAATGAATCTCCTTTCTGGTCTAAGAAGTATGTGAAAAAGAAATGAGGGAAATAAGATAAAAAGGTGCCGACTGTAAAGTATTGCTAATATCTTTTTTGTTGTTGTTGTTGTTGTTTCTTTTTTTTTCTTTCCTCTCTCCTGTTCAGTGAAGTTCTGGGGCTAACAAGAAGGAGCCAGCAGAAAATAATAATTTAAAAGAAAGAAAGTATTTAAAAAAAAAAAAGGAAATGCGCAAGGTGTCATCACAGTGGGGATTTACGAAGAAAAGTATCGGACTTCAAGTAAAAAGTGCTGTTTTTTATACTACCTGTAACAATAGTGGAAGTAATGGAACTGGTAGTATTAAGAATGGTGGTTGTGGTTGTGGGAATAGCTATGATATCCCAACCTCCTCCTCATCCTCTCAAGCTATAAGGCATAATAATAATAATAATAATAATAATAATAATAGCATGAGTTGTCTTGCTGGATTACGTCACCCAACGGAGTTAGAGAATTACCCGCTGCATAGTGATGATTGGCGCCGTGCGGTCTGTCAATTATACCGCGCTATACTCAAACTGCATGTATTGCGACTTCTCCCCGTGCAGCGGGCGTTTGGTGATCGTTTTGTGCGAGTGGAGTTTGAGCGGCACGTGGATGCGGGGGAACGGCATGCGCGGGTATTTTATGCAGAGTGGTATATGTATGCAGCGCAGCTGGAGATCGGTGGATCCAGCGGTCGTCCACTCACGGCGGAGGAAGAGCGATTGTTAACGCCTGAACAACAACAGCGGCTGCAGGAACTCCGCAGTCGAGTGGTGCAGGTGCGGCAGACAGATCCGGACTTTAAGTTGTGAGTAAAAGGCGGATTTGATGTATTGATGGATTGATTAATAGATTGATTGGTTTGGGTGATGGAGGGAGTGAGGAAAGGGGTGTTGTTGTGTATATGTTTCTGCGTCTGTGTTAGGATGGACACAGGTATAGTTGTGTGTATTGACGATGTTTTTTTTTTTTTTTTTTCTCTTGGGGTGCTAAAGATATATCCAGAGTTGGGTTCATTCTTGTTTATATTCTTCTTTTGTTGTTTTCTTTTTTCTTTTTCTTTGTTTCTCTATCTTTATCTTTCTTAAGGTTTTCGACGTTGTGTGTAACTCCAGGAGAGAAGAAGAAGTGAAGCCAACAGGAATACAGAAAACTATTTGATTATCACTTTTATTATTGTTATTATTTTTTAGTGGTAGTGGTCGCTTGTTTAGTTGAGAGCTCTTTCCCAAACCAATCGTTTATTCTGGGGAACAGGAAGAATTCTCTTTAACGCACGGCCCTTTTATTTTCCTCTTTTCTCCTTCTGCGTATTGTGTGTTTGCAGTTAACGCAATATGGAGTCAAAAGGACCCCGACGACGGACGGCTCTAGGGGCTCCGCAGTCGCCTCTATTAAAAGGCCATAATAGAAGTAACAGCAATAGCCACAATAATAATAATAATAATAATAATAATAACAATAATAATCCCAGTGCCTCCTCTCCACATGCAGAAAGTGTCAAACCGACCATAGCTGCTACTAATACTAATACTACTACTACTACTACTACTACTAGCGGCACCAACAACGACAATAGCAACAACAACAACAATAGCAATCAAACAAAAGGACGTCCAGTTGCCGTAACCCGCACAGACAGTTTGTTAAAACCTCCACCGCCTGTACGGCGTACATCCGCAATGCCGTCTGGAATGCACATTCGCCGTCGACCGCCATCTGTGCAGGGGCGTGCCGCCTCGCCGTTTCTCCCCCGCCAGGCGGTGGCGAGTCTACGCAAGGAAATCATTGAACACCGCACAGATCCCTCACCAGCACCCTCACGTCCACCGCGGGCTGTCAAACGTCATTCCCTCGCCGCCTCACCGCCGATGTTTTCATTAAATCCCGCTCCTCCATCACGTGGAATGTCTGATCAACAACAGCAACAACAACAACAACGCATGACAAGTGCGTTTCATGGTGGGGCGAATGATAGAAGACGATCATCCCTGATTAGACGAACCTCACAGTATTCCAAGAAGAACTCTATTGTCAGTGAAGGCGGTAGTACCGGAGCGGAACGATCAGCATCAACCGGTTTACATGGAGTCGCTCGACGTAATATTGTGTTAGATGCTAAACAAAACACACGGCCCATCTCCGGGCGTAGACAACAACCGCTGGAAGTTCTCGCACCGCCTGATAAGGAAGCCCGTGCAGAGGCGGTTCGATGCTATAAGAAATTATGTGAAGAAGTTGGACAAGCACCGCAAGAAACTTGGATTCTTGCTGTATTAAGTGGAGAAGCAGCGGCAGCAGCAGCAGCAGCAGTGGCGGTAACGACAGAGACGGTTGGAAATGTGGATGAAGCTGTTGATGATAGGAAAGTCCCAACTCATTCAGGGGAGGGAATGGTTATCTCATCTGCAATGGAATCTAAAATGACACCAGGAAGCAGCAAGACAACGATTCTTACTGGTGCTGCTGGTATTGCTAGTGGTAGTAATAGTGTTTCTGTCACTATGGAGAAGGGTTCAAAACGACGAACAAGTAGTCGGAGTGCACCACAAGGAGCGCGAATGGGAAAAGAAACTAAACGTAGTAGTAGTGCATCTAAACGACGTAGTAGTAGTACTTCTTTGAAAGGCTCTATTCCCTCATCAGGGAGTTCTTTAGCAAAAGGCCTTAAAGGAAGTGATACACTATTAGAGCAAATGGTAGCATATTGTCAACATCTTCAGCCTTATCGTCGTAAAATGGAAGTGTTATCACAACACCGTAAGAATGTGCATGAGACTCTTAGTCGCTTTTTAGCTCTTTGTGAAAGTGGTCAACAACAGATCACAGAAATTAGTTCTAAACCTCCTACCATCACTACTCTTGAGTCTCAGGCAGCAACACTCACAGATGGTCTAAGAGAACTACAACGGTCTAATGTCGCACTCTTGTTACTTTTGGCTGAATGTTCCCGAGAAGTACGACGACCATTAGGAAGTGTAGGTGATGTTTTACACACTACTTCACCAGATAAACAAGAACAACAACAAAAACCACTAGAGACAAAGAAAAGTGACGGTGTTGCTTCACCAACACATTCTTCTATTCATCGAATATCAAACCCTCCGCACTTCTCATCACCTTTAACACAAGGTGGTGCGACTAATCCTGCGCCATTGCCATTATTTCTCCCTTCATCAACTGAACCTCCTATAGGGTATATGAATTTTCTACGTGCAGAGGAACGACTTATTGTGCGTGAGTTAACAGATGTATGTGAGCGTGTTCGTGAGGCTCTATCAAAGTGGCCTTCTCTTGCCATAGCCGATAAAAGTATCTTGGAAACACCTCTCTTTATTCCCTCTCTATCCAATGTGAATTCGGCATGTTTAGATGAACAATTGCAACGACAGCAATCTGGTGGTGTTAGTGGTTTGTATTTTCACCGTAGTGGTGTAACTGGATCTGGACCGAGCAGTATTGCACTTTCTCATTCAGAAAATACAGGGAATAACCGTGTGTGTACGACAAGAAGTGGTGGTAGTGCGAAAAGCCCTGAAAATCGCATGGGATTTTTTGTGAAAAACACTGCCTTTACAGATGGAAGTCTCTGTACTCCTGCCTCTGATCATCTCTATATGGAAGGACAAGAAAGTCATCAATTCCCATTTGTTGGTGTAGCGCAGATGGGATGGTCCACTACGACCACCACCGCTGCCGTCTCCCGCACAACTTCTGTGGGTGAAAGTGAAGGGAATTTACATAGAAGTAACACAAGTGCACCGCAGTTGGTGTTGGGTGGTGGGAAACGATGTCTCTCGCCTTATGGAGGGACACTTGAAAAGCGTTTTAGCGCTCCTCCTATAGTGGGAGGTAAAAGTAAGCCGGCGAGTCCAGGAGGAAAAGGAGGGAAAGGAGAAGGAGGAGTATCAAAGAAAAAAGCCGTGGTAAAATCGAAATCAGCAACAGCAACAACAATGGCAACTCTGGCAAGAGGATCATCATCGTCATCATCGTCAACGCCAAGATTAGGAAAACGACAAAAAGGGAATCCCATGTTAAAGGTAGGACGATCTGCAAGTACCACAGATGTTATTGCGGTAGCACAGATTAGGGAAGCAGAACAAACATGGGAAACTATAAAAGGTTTGGCGGCATTAATTTCCTCTCGTGAAGAGTTATGGTCAGAAGAAAAACGGTCCCAGAATAATAATATTAATAACAACAAGAATTTAGAACAGGACGTAGAAGCTGAAAACGATGTATCAAAGTCCAGCATACCACAAGTTGGACCCATGTCTCCAATCTCTCCGATGGATATTGCATTAGATAATGATATGAAGTCTCTTGGTTCCCAATGGTGGGCTCCTTTAATGGGATCATCGCAGAAGAATGAGACACCTGGTGGTACGCAATCTGCCATTGCTCTTTATAGAGAACATATGCAGAAAAAACAAGCAGTAAAGGTAATTGTTCGTTCTCTACGAAGGTATATTATTTTAAAGCGTAATTATCTAAATAAAGAACAAATAAAGAAAAAAGATCATCAACAAAAGAAAGACGAAAGGAAAGAACTGCCTGTAAAGGGAGAGTATGGTAAAGTGTTAGATCCCTTAGAAGTACATGTGAAGATGGCAAAACGAATTGCATCTTGCTGGCATCAATATGTTGCCCGAAAAACCGCACAACAACGGCGATTGCAACTAGAGAAGGAAAGAGAAAAACAAAAAAGATGGCATTATGAAAATGTTATGGCTTACCGAATACAACGTTTCTTTGCTAAAATTTTAGCACGACGAAAGTTACGTGAAGCTATTAAGAAAAAAGCTACTTTGAAGGAAAAAGAAGATGGAAATAAGAAAACATCTACTGTAGGTGATGTGAAAAATAGAAAAGAGAATAATGAACGTGCGATGACCGCGCGAGAAAGATTTGAACGTGCAAGAGAGAGACGTAAAAATCTCATGCGTTCCCGTCTTGAAGCTGTAGGAGGAGGAGGAGAAGGAGGAGAAACTGGTACTACTAATATTGATAAAAAGGAAAATATAGAAAGTGCACCCGTTTCCTCCATCTCTGGAATTAAACCGATGCCGAATGAGTCCAAAGAAGAAGGAGAAAAAGAAGATGAGAAGGAAAAAGAAAGAAAGGAATCTCAGCAAGAAACAATGAAAGATGCTTTTAGTGTCCCGCCCTTAAGTTTAAAAACTACTCGCATCTCCGCTTTCGCCATTGATAATTATTATCCAGAGAGAGAGAGTTTTGAAGTTAGTGTCTTGCATCGTTTGTTGCGTGCACCAAAGTCTATTCTCTATGCAATTCGTATTATATGTGATGCCTGTCCAACACGACCGGATTCTGCATTTGATCTCCTTTCAGCTGCGGAAAAGGGAAGTTCAAAGTCGAAATCCAGTGGTATGGAGAAATTACAACAGCAGGAAATCATGGAATGTGAAGGGGAAAATAATAATAATAATAATAATAATAATAATAATAATAATACAAATGGTAAAGAAAGAGAGGGAAGCAATAGTAGTAGTACTAGTACTCAAAAGACGACGCCTGCTAAAGAGGATGCACGACATTTCAAAAGTGATGGTAGTAAAGGAAAACAAGATGAATTACAGTGGGAGTTAAGATCTTACCGTACCGTCTGTCATCGTCTTTGTACACGAGAAGGTGAAATAAAACAAAAAGAAAAACAACAAAACAACCGTAAACCATTTTCTGTCTGTCCACCCTCTGTTCGAGTGGGAAGTATGATTGGAGAAGATGAACTAGGGCAGAAGAAGGCGCCAAAAGAAAAGAGAGTAGATCGACCATTTGAACGTTGGGGGGCTGCACATGCCTTTCAACGTCGTGTCTTTGCAGCTGCAGCGGTGTATGCATGGAAACTTATCTTCAGTCACACTCCACATGATGATTACAAACAAAGTATGTTGAAAACAAGAGAAGAACAGGAGGCGCGATTGGAGCGAGTGGAACAGCGTAATCGAATGATTCTTGCCTGTTATTGTGTTCGCTCTGAACGTGAATGGTTAAAAGAAGCCACTCGTGATATTAGTTTTGTTGGACACATATGGAATCCAAAGAAATCATTGGATCCAAACGATCCAGATTTTGAAAGACACTGTCGTGAGACTTATGAGTTTGTAGAAGACTTTCTTTATCAATGTTTTCCCACTATTACGAGTTTAGATGATGTACCAACATTTCTTATAGGTGCTGGGGTTTACTTTGTATTAAAACCATTACTCAGTTGGGTAGAAGAAGATATGACATTAGCAAAGACAAGTAAATCCCCACTTTCTACTGTTATTTCTCCTCACCTGTCCACTACATTATCTCTTCAACAACGACATGCTGTCTTTACATGTGAATTATTAAATCTATTGGATGATCTTGCCTGTTGGAATGCCCCAACATCCAGTGATGGAGATGATGCCTCACCAGGGACGTGTAGTGTGAAGGAATTAGATAGTTCCGGCACCTGGGAAGATGCCTTTGAGCGGACAACGCGATCACTCGCAATGACAATGCAATTCAACAGTAGTAGTCATCCAAACTCACTGGAGGAAAGTCCAGTGAATGAAAATGTCTTAACGGGCGCAGATGTGAAAAGACCACGATTGCAGATTGTGCGGGTTCCAGTATCCATTGCATCACCAGCGAATATATCCACAACAGAGGAGGTGGCGGTGTCGGAAGTAACAGACGCGGTACTCTCAGCTCCACTCTCACCATGTACACCACCGTCAGTGGTAAAGACAGCCTCACGGCGTTTTTATGTGAAACGCAATTCCGTGGATGATAGAGATTCACGATTTTTATTAATGCCACCGAAGGGTTATCTTGTGACTCTCAGTGAACGACTGGTGTATGCGTTACTTGGGCTTGCACTTGATCTGGAAGTGTGTGAAGACTTGGATACTATGGCGTAATGCATATATATATATATATATATATATATATATATATATATATATATATATATATATATATATATATATATATATATATATATATATATATTAACTCTATATAAGGGTTAATTGTATAGACTGGCATGTATGTATGTCTTTATTTATCTATGAGAAGAACAGTGGAGTGAGAAATCTCCTTCGTACATGTTTGGAAGAGGGGCTGTTGGGGGATTAGTGGTAGTTTCTCAATTTAAACAAAATAAGAAGAAGAGAGATATCTTTTTAAAAAAAAAAAAATAGAAAATAATAATAATAAAAAGAAGAGTTGATAAAGAAAAAGAAAATAACGTTCTTATATTTTCTTGAAACACACATATGAACACGCACATGTACACACAATACATGCACACACTTTAATGCAGTCTTCTTGTAATATATATATATATATATATAT